GCTGCAGTTGTGTGGTTCCAGCACCCTGAACTTAGAATAAGTCTCTATGTCACTGGTGTTTGTACTGGTCTCGTGTTGCTTGTGTGCGCCCAATTTTGGCATGTGGCAATTTAGTCACGATGTGCGGCCTTTGCCCTACATTCCCAAACCCTCTACCCTGAAGCCAGAGGTCATTGAGCAAGACCTGGCCACCAGCGCCGAAATCCTGCGCCCTCCCAGCTCCGTGGTGGACATGGAGGAGCCAGAGCAGACTTGACAAGATATGTATGTATGTATGTATGTATGTATGTATGTACGTATGTACGTATGTACGTATGTACGTATGTACGTATGTATGTATGTATGTATGTATATATATATATATATATATATATATATATATATTTATATTATACTATAATATGAACCTGAAAAGGGACTACCGAGTTTGGCAAAGAGGAGAACTTGAGAAGAAGGAGCATGCCCGTTGAAAGAGACTGGGAACTTGAGAGACAAGAAGCAAATGTCTGAATTACAAATTGGCAATCAGCAGAATTTCGAGAAGGAGGAGCAAGTCAGTCGAAAGATAGGACCCCAAACTTCGAGAAGCAGGAGCAACACGCTCGACAGAAATTAGAGAGCTTGACGAAGAAGGACATTTAGAAAGAAGAGCAGGGCAGTCGAAACTGGTTTGGAAACTAGAGCAAGAGAGACAAACCGCTCGAGTGAGACCAGGGTGAAAACGAGGAGCAAACGACGTGGCACACCATAAAGCCAACACCCGGAGCGGCCAATGCGGAGTTTTCGGCGCTTTCGACGCCTCCCCAAATAGCTCAGCAAACAGTTTATTGTAGCAGGGTTTCTCTGTTAATGCCCAGACAGCTTGCCATAGGGATTCTTGCTATTTCTCCAACCAGTTTACTGCAAGGGTTCTTTTAGAATGACACCGAATGCCGGCACTCGCACTTTGTCAGCGCTTCCGATACTTGCTCTGGTTTCGCTTGAAACGGTTGGAGTCTTCGGCAGCACCATTTTGAGGGCGCTTTTCTCCACAGAGCGCAAGACCACAAACACCGCTGCAACCCCAAACACGGACCCCGAAATTCCCGAGAGCCTCCGAAGTTTTCAAGAGTCCTTGAGCCAGAAGCCGAAGTTGCCCCGCAGCTTCTCCTCCCGAGCACTGCGCCCTGAACGTCTCACCTTCAATCCTGGCAGAAGACCCTAAGGCCCCAAAGCGGTTCCTTTTTGGGGTTCATGTTTCGAATCTTATGAGGTAATCCCAAAAAGGAACCAGTATGGGGCTTTGGGGAAGCCTTGAGCGGCCAGGAGCGTGCGAAGTTTGCCGAAGCACCCGGGCTTGGCCTTGTATGCCCCGCTGAAGCCCAGCTCCTAAAGCCCGAAATCCTAGCTTTGAACCCTGAAACCCTCGAGCCCCGACAAATGGAGTAGGGTTTCTGCGTTTCAGGGCTGTGTTGGAGCTTGCGGTGTGGTATTTAGAGCTGGAGGATGTGGGGTTTACTAAACCCCCCAACTACCCGTTAATATACCCTGTTAAGGAGCATAGTAAAAGGCACTTAGGGTGTCCTTGTGGAATTCAAGGCTTCCATACTTTGGTGCTTGGGTGGGGTCCCTGCTCGAGAGTCCGCAGGCCTATTTGGAGTTCATTTTTGTGAAGCTGGGTTTCGTTGAGGGTTCAGGGTTCAAGGCCTGTGTGCTGATGTTACCGTGTTCTGAGGAGCTTTGTCTGATAGGTTGGCTACCTTGACACCTTCCTGCTACGTACAGGACCTCTGGAAGGCTTGGGTCTTAAGGTGAAGGTCCAGGACTGCCTCGGTGCTTGCCAAGGTCCTGCGAGCCCAGTTCCAACTGCACCTGCTGGTTTTGTCGAAGATGTTCCGATCACTCCACGGCGGGCGAAATGCCGTGCGCTTGCAGCAGGTCTTGGCGAGCAAGGCGCGGCGCTTGGCCCGCCTGCTCCTTCCGGACCTGATCCTCCTCAGCGCCCGAGATCTGAATCGTGAACGGCTCGGCAGCGCTCCAAACACCTCTGACTCTGCGCTTTCAATGCGAGTCCTTAGCAGCCCCTTGCTGGCACAACCGCGGATGCCAAGAGCGGTGGAGAGATGCCGCGCACTGAAAGACCTCGAGCTAAGCTACGGCAGCAATCTCGCCGAGTTCGAGTATCTGGTGATCTGCGTGTGGCTTCCCTTGTATGACGAGGAGAAGATCGCCCTGCCGCTGCCAGTCAAGGAGGTCTACGCCGTGGACCTCCAGGCCCCGATCCTAAACCCGCCCTACCCCCAAAAGCTTTTAGAATGCCCAAAGCCCAAAGCATCTTTAGACCCTTAAACCAGAAAGGCCCGCAATACCCCTAAAATCCTAAATCCCCAAGGGCGAATTTGGCACAGCCTGGACCTTCTTTGGCTCATTTCCGAAACTGGGCTGCTGTCTCGAAAAACGCTTAAAGTAGGCATACATGAAGAAAGCATAGGTTTCCTGAGTGTGAGAATAGCTCTTAGAGGAGCCACCAATCTAGGCATACATTGTGAATGGAGACTTGGATGCGGATCTTAAAGAAGACCTGAGGAGGGGATCATCCGGATGGTCCGAGGGCAGTGACCACGGGCTCCGGTGTGACGAGGTTGCCGGGGCGTTTCAGCCTTGAGTGTTGTACTTCAGGGCGAAACATACGGTGGAGACGCCTCTGCTTGTGGGGTTTGATTTTGTGTTTTTGGCAGGTTTGTTGGGCTTTGTGACATTCTACTCCAGTTATTGAGGCTATAGATTACGGCTCGGGGTCTACGCACAGACGGATCCACGGCCGTGGCTCTGCCACAAGGTCCAGGATTTCGGGGTTGGGGCCCTCTGCACTTGCAACAGGTTTTCGGGTTTCTGGCCCGAACCTCCCTACTTCAGACAGCTGAGGTTCAGGGGATGGGGCCGTGCTTTTAGTCTGGGCACAGTCAAGCCCCTTCTTCCCGTTTGGGCTTGAAGGTGGTTTCCTTACTGTTTGAGGGGCTTGCCACGGTCGCACCCACTCCTTTTCGATCTTTGCCTTGCCACCTTGACTCCTGTGACTTCGGAGCGGAAGTTCATGATTCTGTGCCCCAAGGGCTCACGACGCTAAGTCCAAAAAACCCAAAGCCCAAAGCGACCCAAAGCCGAAAGCTCTCCGATGTGGAGGCCTCGGGTGTCCAAGCCATCGTCCGCGCCTGCTCTGCCACGCTCGGCTGTCGCGCCCTGTTCGAAACACAAGGGTAACCTGCAGACCCTAAACTCTGAACCCTAGTTAAACGCCTCCTAACTCCACTAGCAGTAGATAAGGTAACCTTTAACCTTTTTTGGGGTAGCATAGTCCCTCAAGATTCCCGATATATCCAAAAAGGTTAACCTTAAGTTCCCCATGATACCCGACAAGTAGGCTCCTAAACCCTACCTCCGACGTCCGAAAACCGCTTCAACCCTCCTTTGACCTGAACCTCAAGCGGCCTGGAGGCAAAACTTGCGCAGACCGCAGGGATTCGTCAATGGATAGACCGTTTTCTGGAGAAGATGGAAATTCCAATCTGCCAGAACTCCCAAGTCCGTTTTGTCAGACCTGCAGAAGCCTTGTCTAAAGATTCCTTCACTCAAACAAACCCAAAAGGCAGTTCGTTCTTTACGGCTTAGGGGTTAGGAGTCGAGAGGCTATGGTCCAGGGTGCATGCGAGCAAGCGCTGCTTCAATCAGAACTTGAACCGCAACCCTGTGAAAAGAAGGCCACTTCACTTGCAGGCCTTGCTTCCTTTAGGGGTTATATAGGTTCTACCACAAACCAACCCCAATTGACATGTTCTTGAGCAACCGTTCGTAAACCTTCACTCCTGCACCAGACAGAAGCCCGGCATAACCCTAAACCCTAAACCCTCCAGAAAGTAGCATTTCTGCGCCCCCAAGAAAGCGAAGCTTTGAAATCATTCCAAGGTTTGGAGGGCCTCTGCGCACCCCTGGGGGACCATGGCATTCGGCGAGCAGGGGCAACCTTCACAACATCAGGACGAGGGTAGAAAAGGATCTCCCACACTCAAAACCCAAGTCTGCACAACCCAAAATTTCCAAAAGGACAAATTCCGAACCCCGAATTCCGAGATGAACGGTTTAGGGTGTTGCACCGGCTTTGAGTTCAGGCTTTGGGGCCTCAGGGTTCTGAGGCTTCTGGCTCTGATGACATTGAAGTAGGAGCCTGATCAAAAGATCGCTACTACTACGTGGACCTCTTCATCCGGATCTGATTATACAGAATCCTTTCGAACCGTTGCGGCTGGGTTGTGGCTTTTGGGCATGTTGGTGACCTCTCTCCTCGGCACAAGCTGGCCAAACCCAGTGAGGAAGTCATGGAATCTGTAGGGTCACTTCTCGAAGACGTGAATGGTGATGCGACACCTGATCACCCTTAAATGCCAAGCTTCTAGGCGCCTAAACCCTTAAAGCCCTGCGAAATTGGCATTGGGGCTGGGAGATATTGGGTTTCAGGGGAGGCCTTTCGTTCCATTTCCTGGCTGGAGGACTTTGCACGGACTACGTGAGTGGCGGTGTACTGGCGGCCGTGATGACCGCAGTGGAGTTTCGGCCCAACATCGGCCCTCATACCCCGGTCGAATCTGGAGTCAAGAACAGCACCTGCGCGCTGGCTTACCGGCATTCCGAGGATGACAGTGACAGGGGCCGTGGCGTTTAGAAAGGTAGGATGAGGTTTTGGCTTTCGTAGAGGCAGGTTTTCATAGGAGTTCGGGGCCCTATAAATTATGATTATGATTCAGGACGTAGTTCAGGATTCTAAGCCCACGGTGCCCGGGGCCGACTTGCTAGATGAAGAGCGCCCGCAGCCAAAAAGAGAGCCGTTCGCATCAGTCTTTCACGATTTAGAGGAGAAGCGCCTGGCCAGCTTCAGCTTTTCTGCTTTCCGGTGCCGCCCTTGACTTACTCTGACACTCCTGAGCAGTGGCAAGAAAGAAGCCGCGCCTCTGGCCGCCAAAAGCGCCATGGGAAAGGTTTGCTCTGTGCTCTCGGGGAGACCCGCTCCGGCGGACATCTGCGCCGTCATCAAGGAGCTCTTGGGAAACCCCACGCTACCACTTAAAGTCTTCGACCAAGGAAGCCTTAAGGAAGATTGAAACTCGAAAGTCCTGGAACCCTGAACCCGGAAAGCCAAGAAGTGAAACCATGACGACCACACCTCCGACATGGGGGCCACTGCGGAAGCCAATCAGGCACTCTTGAAAATTAGATGGCATCCCCTCTGCTGTTTGCTTGGGGTTTAGGGCCTTTTTAGGGTTCAGGGCTCGGAGTGTAGGCCTTAGGGTTTCGGGGTAAAGCCTGAACGACGAAACCTCGGAAGCATCCCCCCAAGAGCACGAGGAGGCCGAGCACCGGGCGGAGGAGTGGGGATTGCTGGGCCTCGGAGACTCTCGCGGCTTGGATCTTGCCAAGCAGGCCGAGTTTTAACCGGCGACACCCGAAACCCTGAATCCTAAACCCTGAACCCGAAGCCCTAAACAATCCTAAACCATTTCCGAGCGGGAAGTTTGGAGTTTTTTCGATCCCTCGCCCTAACCCTAAACCTGGTTTGGAGCTTTGTGTCATGGTCGGTGGATTCCGTAGCCGCTGAGGTGACGTGTCTCCGAAGGCTGCCAAGCGGCTCGGCCCAGCTTTAGGACAGGAATTCTCTCTCGGAGCTGGGTGCTCAAAAATATGGGTCTGACAGTTAGCATAGGATTTGGGGCGGGGGGTATAACATTGAAGATGATGGCTACGTCATCGGTTTGAGAGTGTCATCCGGGTTGCGGAATTCGGGCGTGCCTTTGGGATTCTCCTAAACATGAGTCATGACTGAGGCAGGTACTTTTGCGGCGAAGCCCAACGTACAACAGCCCCTCTCCTCGTAAATCGTTCGGGGTAGTAAATCAGTGTAGTCAGCAGACTAGGATATGAGTATGTGAGCAAAGCCCCGAGAACAACAGCCTTGAGGCAGCACATCCTAAAGATGTATTCGCCTTGGCACTAAACAGTGCCAGTAGCTGTAATGATCATGAGAAAACAAACGTGCTTTCTGCAATAGCGGTATCTGCACCAACGAAGTTCAGAAACTAGCGAAATCCCAGAAGACTCAGCGAAGTAAAGAGCTCAGAAAACCAAAGGGCTCAGCAAAGAAAAAGCGAAAACTCACCAAACTAAAAAGGCTCAGCAAGCCAAAGAGCTCAGGAACCCGCCAAAAACCGATGCTCCTCAGCTGAGGCAAGAGCCCCTCACCGGGGCCCGGAGGAGCCTTCTCATTGGATGCAACTACGTCGGCACCTCCAATGAGCTCCACGGCTGTGCCATGGCTCGCACCGAGGGCTCTTCAGGCGGATTTAGGGTTTCGGGGTTCAGGGATCAGGGATTTAGGGGTTCAGGGTTTGAGGATTCAGTGGTGTAGGGATTTAGGATTTAGGGTTTAGGGGTTCAGGGATTAGGGATTCTGCGGTGTAGTTTAGGGGGTGAGAGTTTGAGGGTTCAGTGGTGCAGGGATTTGGGGTTTAGGGTTTAGGGGTTTAGGGTGGGGTTTAGGATCCAGAATCTAGAGTTAGGGGGTTAGTGTTTACGGATTTAGGGTTTAGGAGTTCAGGATTTAGGGGTTCAGTGGTGCAGGGCTTTAGGGTTTAGCGGTTTTGGGTTTACGGGTTTTGGGTTTACAGGTTTAGGGTTTAAGTTTAGGGTCGAGTCTAGATGTTCGGCAGGGCAGATATTGCTAAGATCTGATTGAAGCCTCTGGTGAGTTTTTTTGGAATTGCTGCATGAATTCATAGCCTTTTGTCATGCAGCGGAGGATCTCCAAAGCTCCTGAACGAGCCCCGAACTCTAAACTTAAACCCTAAACCCTAAACTCTAAACCCCGAGCCTGGGAGTGACTTAATCGCACACCTAACCGGACAGAGCTCGACGCAAAAGCCTGGGAGAGACATCCTCACACCCAAGGCCCAACGCCCCCCACCCCAAACCCTACATAAACGTTTAAACTTTAGAACCCTAAAACCCTGAACCCCGAATTTCAAGCGCTAAAGCCGCTAAACTCCTCAACCTGAACCTTAAACCCTTGACCTTCAACTCCAAGCTTAGCCAGAGCATCTCGGAATCTCGGAGATGTGAGTTCCGAGATCACATCTCCATTTAAAAAATTTAGGGATTGGGGATTTAGGTCTTGGGTTCAGGTTTCAAGACTTGGGGATTTGTATATAGGGTTTAGGGTTTTGCGGTTTTAGGGTTTAGGGCTTCGGGTTTTAGGGTTTAGGGTTTCGGGTAGGTCGGGTTTTGTTCTTTAGGGCGGCGGGGGTTGTTGACAGATCGGCCGATGGGGGCGCAGGTGCCAATGACGTTCGGCGCATGATCCCGGTGCTGGCATCTTTGCTGAATCGGGTAACCCTCAACCCTACCCCAAACTACCTCAAAGTAGGTTCCCTATAAAGTCGATATATGAGGTTCATAAGAAGAAGCCACAAAAGATAAGTGTTCGTAGTTAGGGGTAGACTTAGACTCCTAAACCCGCAAGAATTCAGAGCTCCCTCAGGGTTGACACCGAGCCTCGACTTCCTGGCATGCTCTGTGGGTAGAATACGGTAGGGATTAGGCTTTAGGGTTTAGGGCTTAGGGCTTTAGGGTTTAGGGATTAGGCTTTAGGGTTTGGGGTTGAGGGATTAGGCTTCAGGGTGTAGGGATCAGGCTTTACGGCTTTTGGGCTTTACATTTGCTTGAAGGGTTTGCGGTCAGGCGACCTGGCAACGAGGACTCGAGAATTAAGGACTGCTTCGAGATGGGTCTACACCCTGAACCCTAATTAAATCCCTCATCCGCAAACCTTGAATCCCAAATTCCCAAATCCCTAAACCCTTGAATGCTAAACCTTCAATCCTGAATCCCTATAAAACCTACACTGCAAAAAAGAAGGAACCTACGCCGGGTTACAGTAGAAGTCCAAAAGTTGGAAACCCAATAGCCTCAATCCCGAATCCCAGCACTGTTTGGCCTTAACTAGAAGTCCAACTTTATGGGGTTTACTGTGCATGGTAGCTTCGTGGAATTAAGGTTTTAGAATGGGTTAAGATGGTCCCTAAACCCTAAACCCTAAACCCTAAACCCTAAACCCTAAACCCTAAACCGCAGCCGAGGCCAAGCTTGGATTCCCCTCCGATGAGCGAAGCCAGAAGGCCCCTGGGGTCGCCGCTGCTTCGTGGGGGTTTAGATTTAGAGTTCTTCGCTTTTTGAGTTTAGGGTTTAGAGTTCATCGTTTTTTGAGTTTAGGGTTTAGAGTTCATCGTTTGGAGTGTAGGGTTTAGGGTTTAGAGTTCATCGTTTAGAGTTTAGGGTTTAGGGTTTAGAGTTCATCGTTTAGAGTTTAGGGTTTAGGGTTTAGAGTTCATCGTTTTTTGAGTTTAGGGTTTAGAGTTCATCGTTTTTTGAGTTTAGGGTTTAGAGTTCATCGTTTGGAGTGTAGGGTTTAGGGTTTAGAGTTCATCGTTTAGAGTTTAGGGTTTAGGGTTTAGAGTTCATCGTTTAGAGTTTAGGGTTTAGGGTTTAGAGTTCATCGTTTTTTGAGTTTAGGGTTTAGAGTTCATCGTTTTTTGAGTTTAGGGTTTAGAGTTCATCGTTTTTTGAGTGTAGGGTTTAGGGCATAGGGTTTAGGGTAAAGGGTTCAGGGTCAGAATACCTGGTCGGAGTGTCAATTTCCTGATTCCCACATAAGTTACATAGCTATAGTAGACTTCTTCTCCTTCATTTTCTTGCTTCGACTGGTGTCTGGGGTTTGAGGATCTTTTGTCAGGAGGACCTGTCGGCTTTGTCTGTGGACCCAGGGTTAAATCCAAGACCCTAGACGCATCTTTTTGGAGATGTTTCGTTCAGCGCTGAGGGATATCGGCACCGTTGCCAAGCATTGTCTGTAGGGTCTAGTCCGCCGAAAACAAAACGCTAAACTGAGTTTGAAGCCTGGTCTGGATTTAGGGCTCAGGGTTTAGGAACCCGAAACCCCAAAACTCCAAACCCAATAGACAGCCTTCGGGTTCCGCCCGATGTCGGGTGTCAATTCTCGCGCGCACACGCTTGCAATTCGAAGGCACCCCCAGGCGTTTCAAACCCTCAAGCTTACCTTTGGTTATGGGGTTCTATAAGGGTTACTATAAGGGATCTATAATAAGGGTTTCTTTCATCATAATTACTAGGAATACTTACCTTTGGTTAGTAGGGAATGGAAGAATGGTAGTAATAGTAGTGAGTAGTTTTAATTGTACCACATTCCTCCATTCCCTACTAACCAGAGTTCAGCAAGAATGAACGGCAACCCGCAGGTTACCACAGCCCCTGAACCCTAAAATCCGGATCTGCCGCCACAAGGTGCTCCTGGATGAGGAGGGCGTCGAAGGGCCGAAGCCCACGCATGCGAACATGCTTGAGGTTCGGAGAAGTCGCAGTGAGAGAGGCCTTAAGGAATACGGCTTCAGGCTTTTGGGCTTATACCTTCATAGAGTGCCTCAAAGTATCTTCGATTTCTGGCGATTTCCGGTGCCTTCCTGAACTGAGGGATCTTCGGCTCTCGAGGCTTCCAGGCTCTACTGTTGATGGTATAAATCCCGCATTACCTTAAGGACCCTAAACTAGGGGAATTATGGTATATTCCTTATTATGGGTAATGCAGGATTTATATCATCAACCCTAGGATTTCGGGTTCAGGATCCGTTTCCGATTCAACCATAAGCACTTAGAGAGTCATGAAGAGCCCCTGCTCCTGAGGCACAACTACAGGGGCCGACATAACTACCAACACTATTTTGGGGGTTCATTGCTATAATTGTGGTATAATTGGCCCCAAAACCCCATTTTAATTGTGAAGGCCCCCACATTACGCCCGAAACCTGACGGCAGACCCTAGAACCCCAAAGACTGCAAGCCCAAATCCCCCCCCAAGTTCAACTCAAAGCACCCATAGCTTCCCAGGTTCCCCTGAATCCACAAGTGGGAGTTTCCGAAAATTCGAGGTACCTTATGTTGGGGTCCGTATAGTAAGGATCCTATTTAGGGTACTATATTCGGAGATTTTTCAAGTGAAGGGCCATTGACTTGGGCAAGCGAGCTCCGAACTTAACGCTCCAAACGACAATCCGCCCAAAAACCCTTAAAGCCTGCAGTTAGGGGACCCCTACCATAGTGGGCTTCCTTATAAGGGGGTTTATATGGGATATCCCTATCCTAATTTTTGCTTATGTGCTTTTTGGGGCTCTAGTGCAGTTCCGAGGCACCTTGAAATTCCTAACCTCTTACGTATGGTGACCATCGAGCCCTCAGAGTTACTCTAACACATAGGCTAAGCCTAAACTCCCATAGCAACTCATTTTTCCCTAAACCCTACACCCCTAAACCCCAAACCCCTAAACCCTAAACCCTACACCCCTAAACCCATACCCTAAACCCTAAACCCTACACCCTTAAACCCTAAACCCTCCACCCTACAGAGCCGCCCCCCCCCCTCCGGTAGGGCCTGGACTGGCTGGTGGCCGAAGCCCAGCCCGGGGATGCCCTGCTACTCCACTACTCGGGGCACGGGGGCCGAGAGCCTGCGGAGGAGCCCCGGGCTGCACCTTGGGGCTTCTGATGGCGTTCATGGATGCTTGTTTTTTTTTTTGGGGGGGGGGCGTTAGGGTTTATAGGTTTAGGGTTTAGGATTTAATTAAAGAGTGGTTGTCAAAATTAGGGTCCCTTTTTTGAGTACCCTAAACATTAGGTGCCGTATCATAACAAGGATCCAAAAAGGGACTATAATTTTGACAACCACCCGCGTTGGGGGCTTTCATGGATTCTTGTTTTTCTTGGGGGGGTTTAAGGTTTATGGTTTAGGGTTTAGGATTTAATTAAACGGGGCTTCGATCGTTTTCATGGATTCTGTTCTTGAGGGGGGTTTAGGGTTTATGGGTTTAGGGTTTAGGATTTAATTAAAGGGGGCTCGGTTTTATGGATTCTGTTCTTGGGTGGGGGGTTTGAACATGTAGCTCCCGCATCGCTGCTGAAGTGGGCGTCTTTTTGCATGATTTTTGTCGAACACCTGTGCATCTACATTGCATTTCGGCAGCTTTGGTTGGCATGGAAGGAGGGCGGCTACCATGAGACCCTGGTGCCCCTGGACTTCGAAACCGCCGGTGGGCAACTTCAGGGAATGTAGGGCTCGGTTAATGCTTCGAGATGCGCAAAAGCCCCGCAACCCCTGACAGGGATGCTACGGGACACCGAGCTCTTTGAGCGGCTGGTGAAGCGCTTGCCGGAAGGCTGCCGGCTGACCTGCATCTTGGACAGCTGCCACAGCGCCGGAGCTTTGAATCTGCCTTACATCTTCGTGGGGACGGAGGACTGACATCCACGAAATTCCGCCAAAGCCCCCCAAATCTTGAAACCCCGGAATCTTCAAGCCTAAAGTCTAAACCCCCCTAGCTGCAAGACCCCAAACCTTCAGACCGAAGAGCCCCCTGAAAAAAACCTCAAGCCAAAGCAATGCCCACGAAAGCTGCAGGAAGAGCTGCGGAAGGCCGTGGCGGGTGAGGCCGTCCGGATGGCGCTGGCCATGCGATGGAAGTCCGACCTGGAGAAGCTGGGCCTCTTTGGAGGGCCTCTTTGGGGTTTAGGGGGTTCGGCTGGAGGAAGAACTCGGGCTACAGAATGTGCCTATAGCTTACATTCCCTAATGGGTATCACTTCTACCCGCATTTATATGGTTTTTTATTTGCAGTAGATGTATGTATATACATAAACATAATATACACTAATTATATATATATATATATATGTATATCTATATATGATACATACTAGCATCCAGGAAGTGGAGACAGGGCTCCTCGAAGGAGCTCTTCGGCGACGTGAGCTCCCTGGGCAGCTCGGGGGAACAGGGGTTGGGTTTTAGGCGTTGACGGTTCCGGGTGTGGGTCGCAGAGTTTTGGAGGCAGCTTGTGGAAGATTCGCCGAAGAGAGTCTTGACGGTTGGGTTTTGGTACATGCTTCGTGCGGCAGCATTGGGGCAGAAGCGTTTGAGCGCCTGTACTGCAGGTAAGAACCTCTGGAAGATGTACCAGGATGGCCACAGCGGCTACGTCACTGATACGGAGAACACAAAGGGTGTCGCTGTCGGCGAAGTGGTGGCCATCACTGGATGCTGCTTGGTCTGAGCCAAGAGCCACCAGGCTTTCCATGTTATTTTAGGGTTTAGGGTTTCAGGGTAAGGAATTTAGGGTTTCCGCCTGTTGAAGGCCGGAATCTTTTCTTCCAGCACTTTGAGGGAATTCAGTCAAGCAGCATAGCAAGAATGGAATGCTGCTTTGCCAGGAGGAATGTAGACAAGCACACAGGTACATCTCACCTTCATATACGACCCATCATGCCTATGTTTCCAAGATGCTCCCAAGGTGCTCTTTGCCAGTCCCTGAAATCTAAACGCGTACACCCGTACGTATCTACGAACCGATCACAGTAAGTGCATCGCATTATGGAGCAACTCTAGAGCATAAAAACCTACATACCCTTCCACCAAACACTGGACTATGTAATCAACGCTTCCACCTTCCGTGGCTGGCACCGAGCCTTCAACATCCTCAACGACCGTGACGTTTTCACAGGTAAACACCCTCAATGTTTTTTGCCTCCCGCAGCGAAAGCCAGGTCGCTCCGACCAGACGAGTGCAGACGTCGGGGACGTCTCCACGTTCGGATTGAAGCAGGCCAAGGATTTCGAATTAATATGAATATCCCGTTGTAGTCCCCATCTAACCAGATGATCACATTCGCCAAAACAAAGTGCGGCAGGCAGGTGTACTGGTTTGAGGCTCAGCCGGTTTCGTTTGGGTGTTTAAGGTGGGGGGTGTAACTAGCGCGAGCGATACTAGCATGCCTGGGTTGGGGTTGTTAAGCTTTTGCGGTAGGGTTAGGTTTGTTTTAGAGGCTTTTAGGGTTTGCGAGTTTTGGGGTCTAGGTGTTTGAGGCTTATGAGTTTCAGGTTTCGATTTTAGGCTTTTGTTGGTGGGTTTTAGGGGTTGAAGGCTTGGCCGGGCTGGAGGCTGAAGCATCTTCGTAAGGTCTGGAGATGAGATTCAACAGCTTAGGGCTTAGGGTTTGAGGCTTCAGTGGCAGATGTCGGAAGATCCCCCGAGTCCTGCGGCACCGCACGTCTTTTCAACTTCGGGGTCTTCTGGCTGTTGGGGGCTGTTCCGCGAAAGGCTGAACACTACTACCAAACCTCAAATTCGCTTACATCAAAGAAAGGAGGACAACAGGAATCCGCCGAAAAAGCCTTTCTGGGGCCGTTGTAGGTCCCTGACAAGTCTCTGATACCCCAAGACCCTAAATCCTCAAGCAACAGAAGCCTGAACAACCAACAAAACCTCAAAAACTCCAAAAGCTCTTTAAAGCGGGGTTCCTTTAAGGGCTTCCTTTAAGGGCTTCGTTCCTTCAAAGGGCCCCCCTTAAGGGAGCCATAGGGCGTCTGGGGGAGGTCTCCGGCTCTGCGGGCGGTGCGCTCACCTCCGCGCTGGTGGAAGCCTTGGAAGGCTGGGGTTTAGGGCATACCTTAAGCTACCATAACCGACTTTTTTTTGTAGGTTCCTAGTATACACCCCAATATGGAATTTGTAGGGACCCTACTTTGTTGTAGGTTTTGGTAGGTTAAGGTAGTTTGAACTGTTGATAGGGTTTCGTGTTACGGGAAAAGTGTTTCACAGGGTTTCGTTTTTTTAGGGTTTAGGTTTTTTGGGGTTGCCTTAAATGTTCCGTAAAGGCATCTACAAGTTTTCTATTAGGCTGGGGTTTAGGTCTTAGTTTTTTATATGTCTTACAGAATTTCGTTTTTCGGGAGTAGTTTTCAGGGGGTGTTTAGTTTCTATATAGGGTTTAGTTTTCCTGAGTTAGTTTGTTTTTGGTGTTGTTGTTTCTAGGTTTTGCTGTTTATAGGTTCATATTGCTTTTTTGAATAGGTTTTTGGGGTTTGGTGTTTTAAAGGTTTTCGTTTTAAAAGATTCAGTTTTTCTGGTTTAGTTGTCTGGATTACTTTCCTGTAGGGTTTAGCCTTTATAGGTTTAAGTCTTCATAGGGGTTAAATTTAATGGCTTAGGTTTTAGAGGGTTTAGCTAGCAGAAATCACCAGGGAAACACAGTAGGACAGCATGCACTTGTACAGATGTGCATGCTAACTACAACATTTGGCTCAAGATAAAAAGGTGCCCTTGTGAGTTGGGGTTTCCTTTGTCTTGATTGCTTCAATAAGCACGGCTAAAACTGATTCTAACGGAATCATTGGGTTATCAGCCGTAAGGCCGAGTGCTATTGCATACTATCGTCAAGCGCTTCAAGCTTCAGAAGGATCGTGGAACAACCCTGACGCAACAGCACCTTCTGGGAATCAAACTTGCGGGATCTTCAACTGCTCAGCTCGAGGAGTTTAAGAATCGGGTTGATTATGTTTTGGGTGCTTTAGAAGAGGACGAGATGCCTTCAGAGAGTGCAATGCGCTCATTCCTGTATGAGCAAGTCAAGAACGTCCCAAAGCTCCAAATTCAGATTGACAAGTTCCGATCAGCATCAGTTGGTTCGTCAAGGCGCTCATTCAAGTGGTTGTACCACAAGCTCGCTGAAGTCATTGATGAGGCCCATCACGACAGCAATCACGCGTCCATTACTGCTAGTTTGTCTGCAAAGGCTTCAGGTGCCGCAGCAAAGGTTGAGGATAAGCCTGAAAAGCCTGCTAAGCCCAACAAGCCGAGCAAGCCGGAGAAGCCCGACAAACCGAATCCAAAGGCAACCCCTGCAACGCCCATTGCACCAGCGCCTAAGGCAAATCCGAAGGGTAAAGGAGAGGGCAAGTCATCGGAGCCAAAGGCCAAGGCACCTATGTCTAAGGAAGAGAAGGCGAAAACGCCATGTCTTTTCTTTCCTACTGGCACATGCTTTAGGAACAACTGCCCGTACCTCCATGACGCCAACAACCCTCACCCTAATCCCAAAACTGGTGCCAAAGCGAAGGCCAAGTCCAGCACGCCTTCAAAAGCTTCAGCCGCGTGTGCAATCGTTGCATCTACCGTTGGCCATGCCCAGGGTGACCGTGCAGTGAATTGTGCGCCTGAGCCGGGTTGTGCAAGTAAGGTTGGGAATGGGCTAAGCAGTTGCAGGAAAGTTGCCAAATCCGCTTTGTTTGGGAGGTCGCTTGGCACTCGAATGTTGGCCTTGATGACGGCTACCCTTTCTGCACCCTCCGTTCCATGCCATCCGCAGTTCGTTTCCCACGGTAATGGGACAGCCACGGTTAGCTGGTTGGGGGATACAGGCGCTGGAAGGTACATTGGTTCGCTAACTGATGTGCAAAATGAGCCGAGTCTGAGCGATAATATCGCTGCCACTGGAAATCCAGTGCTGTTCTCAACAGGTGGTGGGGACAGGCCGTCAACAGATTCAGTGAAAGTTCAGGGTGATTTGGTCACAAATGATGAAGTGTACTTGTTAGAGGGGAGTCCTTGGGCAATGTGCATTGGAGACCAAGTCAACTCTAAGGGAAAGGCGTTCCTGTGGTTGCCTGATGGGTCAGGTCAAGCCAAGCCTTTCTTCGTAGAGGACACTGATTCGTTGCGCGTGCATTGCCCAACTGCCAACCGCCGCTATGCTGATGAGCTCCACCAGAATGTCCCTATCTTTAAGGAAATCATTCGCATCTCCCACATGCCTGCGTCCGCAGATTCACCCGAACCGGCCTCAGCGGCTTCGGATCCTGAACCTCCCTGTGCAGCGGTTGACGCGCCAGGAGAGGAAGCAGTAGAGGTGGAAGAGGACGATGCGCGTACAAAAGATGAAAGGCTAAAGGAGATTGCAAGGAGTGTTGAGCACCAGCTAACGCACATTCCTAAGAACAAGTTTTGCAAAACATGCATGCGCTCCAAGCAAGATGCGTTGCCAGCACGTGCACTTCCGATTGAACATTCTTTGACGGACGGTGAAGCAAGTGAGTCATTTGGTGACCGCCTGCATGTTGACCATGTAATCGTCGCCAAAGGCCGTATGGACAGGAACCTGTTTGGTTTGCATGGGGAGAGAGTTTTTCTCGTAGCTGTTGATGACCACACGGGGTTCATGTTGGCGTACCCTTCACGTTCAAAGTCGAGTGGCGACAGCGCTAAAGCCTTGCGCCACTTCATTGGTCGTCGCAATGCCGTTGAGCTTCACAGTGATAATTCGCTTGAGCTTGAGGCTGCAGCGGATGAGCTAAAGCTCGTCCACCCTACGACAATTCCATACCGACACACTTCAATCATCAATAGAAGGATTCGGACCTTAGAGGACGTTTCCCGATGTGCTTTGTGCCAGGCTGGTCAAGTTAAGAGCTTATGGCCACTTGCCGTCCAGTACGCAGCAACCGCGTTATCCCTTGGAGAACCTTGGGAGGCATTGCATGGCGCACCGTTCTCTGGAAACAAGTTCCCTTTCGGTTCCTTGGTGTACTTTAGGCCCCAAGCCAAAGTCACTAAGAAGGTTGAGTTAAAGACTGTAGCCGGGATCTTTGTTGGTTGGAGGGTTGAGCCGGGATGTGGTTTTAAGAAAGCCTACAAAGTTCTTTCGCTGGAGCAGGTCAAAGACCTGTTGCTGGGAAAGGTTGAGGTAACCCCTCAAACGGCCATGACTGTCTACCAGGATGAGGTCCGCTATCCACTAGCGGAACTCAAAGACAAGGGTGAACTCAGGTTAAACCTCCAAGAGATGACCCTGGATCCTGAGGACTACCCCGTAGATGAAACCATCGAGGGGAGAGTCATGAGCCTCACCATCCCAGAACACCCAGCTGAGAGTAAAGCCTTGACAGGTAATTTCCGAATCACCGAAGCACGTGTTCTTAAGCACGGGCCCACTCCTGAATGCAACGCTTGCGAAGGATTGCCAGTTGAGCATTCTAAGGAATGTCGGGATAGATTCGCTACTTTGTTGGCCGAGAAACTGCATGAATTTCCAGATGGAGTGGACCGCAACCATGACTCGTGGGTGTTAGAGGGCGAGACACTGACTAGGTATCATGTGCAGCAAAGGAAGCACTTGTTTACGCCTAAAAAGGTTAAAGGTATCCCAGTTCCGCCTGAAAACCTCCTACCTCACAGAGAAACGTTCCTCACCTACGAAACTGGTGAGAAGCAAGAAGTGA